GTGTGTGGTCTCTTCCAGCTCTATTCGGATTGGAGGTCTCAGTGCTTCGGCCACAGGGGTTGCGTGGGCATCCCAACCCTGCAGGGAAATGGGTAGAGCAGCCCAGAGCTGTGGTTCAGATGAGAGCCGGAAAGTCTTAGGCAGTCCATCTCCAGTTAAGCTCGGCTCCTCTTTATGCAATCCAGAATATCTCCAGAGTTGGAAGAGGGACCTCAGAGGTCTTCTAGCCCAACCCCATTGCTCAAGCAGGACACCCTGCACCATTTCAGAAAAATGGCTCTCTGGCCTCTTCTTAAAAAGCCTCCAGTGAAAGGTTTTTTTTAAAGAAAAAAAACTTGTCTGAAATGGCTTAGGGTCTCCTGCTCGAGCAGGGGGGTTGGACTAGAAGACCTCCGAGGTCCCTTCCAGCTCTGTTCCAATTGTCTATCCAGTACATTTTGCTGTTGAAGGTTTGCCATAATGCAAGTGTGATCATCAGGGCACGCGAGAGCTTTGAACCGAGAAATATTTAGAAATTTTATTTTCCGTTCCAGGAATAGGAATTCTATAAACAAGCCGTTTATTTTCTAGTCCAACCGGTTTCTAGGCCACGGGTGGGCAGCTTTACACTCTCTTGGACTTCCACTCCCAGAATTCCCAGGAGTTCAGGTCATAAAGTTCCTGCTCTTTTACACACACCCTTCTCCTCCAACCACCCTGGACCCCTTTATTTCAGTAATGGAGAAAGGAGGCGGCCCAGGCTTGCAATGAAAAAGGGAGCCAAATGTAACGAGCGCATCTCACTGGCAACCAAGGTGGGTTTTTTCCACAGGACAGGGAGGAATCCCAGTTTGCAGGATTTATATGCACGGTGTTGCTTTTCCACCCTTTCTGAGCATATCCTGTGGCCCACCTGGTTGCAACCATCGTGTGTTCTCTAAGATAGGTAGATGGTAGAAAGATGACATAAACGATAGGCAGGTGGATAGAAGTCGTGAACGTTTCAACAGGGGAAGCTTTCAAGAGGAGACTGGATAGCCACTTGTCCAGAATGATATAAGGTCACCAGCTTGAGCAGGGGGTGGGACTAGATGACCTACAAAGTCCCTTCCAACTCTCTTATTCTGTTATTATTAACCCTGGAGGCTCCATGGGGCTGACGTACGCCCATCGCCTGCCGTTTCCTTTAAGCCAGGGGTCTCCAAACTTGGCCACTTTAAGACTTGTGGACTTCAACTCCAACTTCAACTCCTAAAAGTGGCCAAGTTTGGAGACCCCTGCTTTAAGCCAGCACCCGATGTTGCGTGAAACGAATCCAGGTTGGAAACGGCTGCAGAAGGAACTGGGGATGATAAAAGGACCGTTTTTCATAGGGACCCTCTTCCCAGGGGGATCACAAACCTCAGGTGAGCTGGCTCCCTGCCAGAATCCTCATTGGGAAGGTAGCCATGTGGGGTGGGGGCGAAGGAGGGGGAAGAGGAAGGATCATCACAGGTTTTCTTCAGAGAGATGGGATCCACACTGGGGTTAGGGGGTTGTTTCCACCGGGTGGCATTTCTTTCATTTCCAATTTGTATTCAAGGAAGGTTGTTTGGTTGTCGTTTTTACTTATAGGGCTGCTCTCTAAACCAGAGTCAGAATCTCAAAGCAGAAAGAGGCTTATAAATTTTGGGCCTGTTTTGCAAGGCGGAGATGGAGCTATTGTTGCAGTAGATTTGCCAGCGTTCAACTTTTTTGGGGGGGGTCTTTCTTTTAAATCCCCATTTTCAAAGTTTTGTTTTGGTTTTGTCTCGTTTTGGATTTTAATCTGTTGAACAAAATAAAAATTGATGGAAAAAAAGAGAAGGAAAAAAAAATCCCAAGGTACAGATAGTCCTCAACTTACGCCCAAAATGTCTGTTGTTGTTAAGCGAGAGGTTGGTTATGTGAGTTTTGCCCCCTTTGATGACTTTTCTCGCCACAGGTGTTTGAGTGAGTCCTTGCTGCTGCTAAGCGAGTAACCCGGTCGTTAAGTGAATCTGGCTCCCCCGTTGACTTCGCTTGTTGGAAGGTCGCAAAAACGGGATCGTGGGACCTGCAACTGTTGTCAGTACATGCCAGCTGCCAAGCCTTTGGATTTTGATCAGGTGACCACAGGGAGGTTGTAAGTGTGAAAAATGATAATTCCGTGTTTTATTTTTTCAGGGACACTGTAACTTTGGACAGTCACTAGAACAGCCGTTGTTAAGTCGAGGACTGCCTGCGAAGACATTTCTCTTTGATTGGGATTCCCCCCAGACTCATTTCAATGCCCACAAACCTCGTCTCCTTGGTGGCGTGCCCGGCCACTAAGCGGGGGCCTGTCAGGTGCCCACCCCCCACTGGGGTCCTTGGGGCCAGCAGCAGCCTGAACCAAGTTTAGGGGTTACTGCATTGCCCCCCCCCCCCCAAAAACCCCCCTCTTAGGCAGAGGATAATCCATGGCTCTGAAGAGAAGGTCGGCTGCATTCCCAGGCTCTGCAAGGGATTTCTTTAAGCAACAGGTAGGATGGGATGAAGAGGGTGTGGCCAGGGGGGTTTCATATCCCAAGGGGGTCGCTTCCCAGGTGGGTCCTTCCCCTCCCAGAAAACCCCAGGTAGAGCAGTAGAAATATCGGGGCAAAATGCTGAAGGTCTCAAAAGCATGTCTGGTGGGGGAGGATTGAGGAATATGGATGGGGGTCAGGGAAACACTGGGGCGCAGGTTTTGTATTGGGCTCAGTTTGGGTCAGGGGTATCCAACCTAACTTTGAAACCTGTGGACTTCAACCCCCCAGAATTCTGGGAGTTGAAGTCCACGAGTCTTAAAGTTGCCAAACTGGACACGATTGGAAAACACCCCAACCGGGCATCAAGTTTTAAGCGCTTTCCTGAAACGGAGAGCGAAGGAGCCACACAAGACTCTGGGAGCACCAACTTCCACTGTGGATGCTTTCGGTGCTTGGTGGCTTCCTTGCAGACGTTTCGTGACCCAGCTAAGTGACATCCTCAGTGGTAGAAAGGAGGAGGGGTTTGCAGAGGAGGAGGAGAAGGAATGTGGGGTCCTTGGTGCTCTTGGGGGTTGTACTTACAGATGTTTTGTGACCCAACTAGGGAACATCATCCGTTCTAGAAGGGAGAGGAAGAGGAGGACTGTGTTGTGGTTAGCCGGCAGCAGGTGCGGACGGCTGAGGAGCGCGAGGACTCAGATGAGGGGCCGGGACCACTAGGGAGTGGACTGCTGCCTTCAGAGATGGTGGGGGCTGGCAGCATCAATGAGGAGGTTCCCAAGGAGCCTGTGCCAAGTGTGTGTGCACACAGGGTTGCTCGCAGCAGCACAGGTGACTCGGGAGTAAGGCTGCAAGGTAATGGCCCCTCCTTCAAGAAGATAAAAGCAAGCCGTGAAATGAATCTTCTTTGCAGAAGGCAAAGACGTTTTGAAACTCCAGCCTCGTGGATATTCCAGTATTCTGAGGTTGTATTTGAAGATTCTTATTTTGCAAATTATTTCTTGTCTGTTATCTTTTGGCAAGTCTCGCACAATTTGGCATGGCTTGTGCTCATCACGGCTAATTCTTTTTGTAAAAGCATTACGAGGTTTCTGTTCCTTTTGGATTGTGTTTGATTTGTCGGAAAAGGGCGTGGGTCAGAACAGACTGTGGGGTCCTTGGTGCTCTCTCTGAGCTCGGTGGTTTTCTTGCAAACGTTTCATGACCCAATTAGGGAACGTCATCCGTGCTAGAAGGGAGAGGAGGAGGACGGTGGGGTCCTGGGTGCTCTCTGATCTGGGTTGTCTTCCCTGCAGACGTTTCGTGACCCAACTAGGGGACGTCACCAGGGGTAAACAGGAAGGGGATTTTTATTTTATTAAAAAAAAAGGAAAGGGGCTTTTCCCTCCTGAGGAGATGGTTCTCCGACAGCCCACCTTGGAAAGGCCCTGCATACTGACCAGTCACTCATTCTCTCTCTCTCTCTTTCTCTCTCACACACACACGGAGACAGTGTGGTTTGGCAATTATTATTTTTTTTTAACTACATTACATACAGAAACTTGAAACGCAGACCACAAAAGAACAAAAGAACTCATTCCCAAACGACATTAAAACCATTCCTCATTTTTAAAGAGCCATTTAGGTATAGTGCTCACAAGGATTTGGGGGTGGATAGGACACATGGCAGACAAAAGGAAGCAGGAGAAGTGATGGTCAGGCTCCCAAGGGGAAGGGGGGGGTGAAGGCTGTGCCCCTCCCTCTGCTATTCTGCCCCCACCTCTCCTTAGCGTCCTGGAGGTGAGGGGGGGGGTCAGGCTGACAGCCAGCCCTACGATAGAAAAAAAACCCCACTTCTCTCCTTCCCCAAGCATGGATCCCCTAGCTGGGTTCTGAACCCCAAAGATCCCGCCCCCCGCCTTGCACACCCCCAAACCAGGAACACAAATTGTGGAATCTGAGCCGAGCACGAAGGACAGACAACCTTGCAAACAAGCCGTTAGTTTTAAATTAGTTCAGACGCTACATTCACTAGTTAAATAAATTACCCACGGTGAATACTGTAAAGGAGGATGTGGGGGGGGGGGGTTCCCCCCTGTTTTTTTCTTTTTTCGTGGCCCTCCACGGACGTCTTGGTGCCCGGCGGGGGTGAGGTGGGGAGGGGGGAGAAGCAGGCTACAATCTTTTCGACGTCTAGCCGGAACTAGACAGGTAAGGCTCAGCTACCAAAGCAGAAGTCGGACAGAGTCCCAGAGAAGGGAGACGGCGGAAGGAGAGAGGGATGAGAATGAAGGTTTTAAAACAAAACGAAAATGTTGGCAGTGATAACCTTTAGCTGGACGGGGATTCGCCCGGGCGCCCACTTCCGACAAGGCTTGGTGAGTTCTGGTTCCTCCGAGGTGTCTATTGTGCCTTTAAAGGGGCTTGTTCTTCTCTCTCTAAGCAAGGGCGGCCAACCTTGGCGGCCTTAAGACTTTATGGACTTCAGACTTCCGGAATTCCTCCTCCTCCAGTCAGGTTAGCTCAGGAATTCTTGGGAGTTGAAGTCCACCAGCCTTAAAAGTTGCCAAGTTGGAAAACTCCTTGGTCTAGAGCCCAAGCCAAGATTCTTCAGGTCTTTGGGAGTTGGGCCGAGGGCTTTAGCTAGCGCTGATCTTGAGAAGAACAAAAAGTGATAATGAAAGAGAAGCTGCAAAGGGTAAGAGTCACCTGTAAACCTCCCCCCCACACACACACCTGTACGCCCCCAACAATGACCTGACACTGCAGAAAAGGAAAGCACATCAGTGCTAGGTTTCCCCCCAAAAAACAGGACAGGCTGCACTGAAATAATTACAACCCCCACCCACCCCTGCTGCCAAAAATCTGCCAGAGATTAAAGGACATTTTTAAAGCCAGAAGTCTTGTAGCCCTGCACGGAGCAGGATGGGAAAGACAACAGAGGCACACACCTCCAGGGGGCTACACACTCACAAACCTCTGCTAATACTTTGCTCCAACCTGGCACCTGCCGAAGACACTGGACTGCCATTCTCACCAGGCTGGGGCCAAGAAGGTTGAATGGGCCAGGATAAAGCCTACGCCTGACTACTTGGGAATACAGACCAAGCCAGGGGTCTTCAAACTTGGCAAGGTTTAAGATCTGTGGACTTCCACTCCCAGAATTCCTCCTCCTCCAGTCATGTTAGCTCGGGAATTCTGGGAGTTGAAGTCCACCAGTCTTAAAAACTGCCAAGTTTGAAGGCCTTTGGATTAAGCCATTTCCAAGGAGGGCTGACACGGTCTAAAATGCGTGTGGGCCTGGACCACGAAAGGGATCAGCGCCTGAAAACACTTTCAGACTCCCTGATGTATTCAGAAAGTCGGGAAAGGCAAAAAGAATAAGGAAAAAAATAAGGCTAGATTCCTGCAAATGACTCCTAGAATGCAAGTTGAAACGTTGCTTACTCCAAAGATACTAACGGCACCTTCTTCTCACATGCTCTTAGCCAGGGCTGAGCAACTGTGACAACTTTACGACTTGGGGACTTCCAGAATGCAGTTATGGCAACTTTGGCTTGGCTGGCTCAGGAATTCTGGGAGTTGAAGTCCCCAAGTCTTAAAAGTTGCCATAACTGCATACCCCTGCTCTAAATGTAAAGGCCCACTCCTTTTTTCCTCTGGAAAGTCTGCCACTTAAGTCCAACTCTCGACTATGTCCTTTCTAAACCTGGGCTTGGCCTTGGAGACGGCTGCATCCCACTAGCATTTCCTCGGGGTAGCTTCTTCCTCCTCCTCTTCCTCTTCCTTCACCCTGTACTTTCTCAACGGGAAGGAGGGATGCGCAGACCCAGCAAGATCTGACAGGTTGCTGGACAGGAATCTTAACTTCGCCTCCCACACGGGAAACTTCGAGAGAACTCTTTTGTTCCTGGGAAAAACACAGCCAGCTTCTTCTCTTAAAATGAATTCCTCTTTTTTTTAAAAAAAAAATCCCCTGGACTGGCTGCAAAAAAAACAAGGCAGATTGGGCCCTGCCTTTTTGCCGAGTCAGAGAGAAAAGCGAGCAGCATGGAAAGCGGGGGGCTCCGGAACTTTCTTTTACACACGCCCACCCCCCAAGTGTCAAATGGGCTTTTTGTGGGTGGGGGAGCCTTTAAATTGTACCAGAGTGGAGAGGACCGCTCTTCCTTGCCCTACCTTCGAAGGTGAAGGAGATGCTAATCCTGGGTGCTAATGAAATAAAGTGTGCAATCGAGATAACTTAAGTGCGCTGCTCTTCAAAGAGTGATCCTGCAGCCTGCGGGCAGTCAAGAAGTGCCAGTCCCCAGGCAGAACGGGTATTTCCCCCTCGATCTTGGCCAAGAGGCTAAGGAACCCTAGGGACGTGCCAGCTGGAGGAAGGGGGGAGTCCTTCAGAAACCTCCTGCAGAGATCAAGAGGTGGTTCCTGGTCAAAGGTCACCCACCGCACCTTGAGAGCGAGAGCGGCCTGAGGCCAGTAGATCTGGGGGGGGGGCTTTTGGGGAATTCCTGCCTGGGAACCTTCACCAACGGGAAGAATAATGTCTTAGGACTGACAGTTCTTCCTCTGCCGATTCCAGCCGGGCTTATTCACCCACTTTTCAAAACAAGGATTTTAGGTCAGCCAAACCAGCTTTCGCAAAAAAAGAAACGAACAAAAAGAGCCAGCCTAGAAGCAACCGGGAGTTGCCCAGGATTCGAAGGCTGTCGTGGGCTTTTCTAAAGTCAGATGACAGCCAGGAGGTAGGAGGAGAAAGGAGGAAGAGGAAGGGATGAGGAGAGAAAAAACGTGCCCCGTTATTCTCTGCCAGTTGCAGGGAGGACAGCCCCCCCACACACGCACACGCACGTTTCACGTGTGCGTACAACATACCTGATCCAATTAGTTTCATACAAAGTGTTAACTGCGGTCACAAGCTTCCTTTAAAACAAAACAAAAACGTGAAGGGGGGGGGTTATGCCAGGTTCAGGGTTTAGAAGGAAAAAAAGAAAGAAAGATTGATAGCACGATCAACGTATTTCTCATGATACATTAACTACTTTAGAGGGTCATCCACCACCGGTTCCCATGTCAAAATGGGCTTTTCAGAGCAAGAAGCAAATATCCCTGTAGATCTCACTGAAATTTGGTGAATGTCTTCCACTGTCCTCATCCGTAAACTTGCGATATATATATATATATATTTATATATTTATATATAGTTTTTTTCTTCTTCTTCTTCTTCTTCTTTAAAGGTACATAAAATCACACTGTAAAATTGCATAATTACTATAGAAGAGCCTGTGAACTCATTTTGCACACGGGTTTGTTTCAAAATACCGGGAAAGCTCCCCCCAAAAAACGGACAAAAGAAATCATCACCCTGCATTCCGAGAAGAAGAACTGATTTGGGTCGGTTGAAGATGCCACTTCTTAGCCCGGGGAGGAGGGGTCGCTGGGCTGGGGGGCACTGGGAGCGAAACCAAAGAGGACGGTGTCCGGAAACACCCCCCCGGAAGGGGTCCCTGGGTGCTCTTGGGAAGTGCAACTCAAGCCACTTGGAGGGGGCTGCTTCCTGCCAGAAGGGACCAACCGTTGAGCAGGACACCCCCCCCGCCTCTCTCTCGCTGCCCCCCCCAGAAAGCAGACTTTATGGGAAGCAGTCAGCAGCTCAGCCACAGGGGGGAAAAGCTGGGGAGGGGGGCGAGGGGGAGAACCCCTCTAGACTGATAACATTCGTGGACGTTTGGGGTGCTTTGCTCTGCTTGTTCTTCCCCGCCGCTTGGGCAGAGCCTCGCACGCGCTCCAAGTTAAGAGCCTGGCTGGCAACAACGCCCCCCCCCCCCCCCCTCTCCTCCCTGTTCTTAGGGGGTCCCTGAAGCTGTCTAACCGGAGAATTCCCCCTCCCCACGCACCCCCCTTTTTCCTCCAGATGCAACGAGATCTGACCAGCATTTCCAGACACTACGTAATACTTGGGCCGGAGGACACCCAGCCAGGATGGAAGGAGGATAGGGGAAGGACAGGAGGCCTCCTTCGCCCCCCCACCCCCCTCGCTCCCCAAACAGGGACACCCCGTCATGGAGCTCACACACACACAACCATGAGACAGATGTGGCCTTTTCACAATGTATTGACTAGTAGAGCCCCTTGAGACACGCCCCCCCCAGGCCTCCTATGTACCCTGCATCAAGCTAACTCCCCGGTTGCCTTTTTGGGGGGGGGGGGAGAGGGGGCACAAACGGGGAGCGTCAAAGAAGGCAGCGACTACGGTTCACCTGCCCCACATGCAAAAACGTCCTCTTTGTGTCAAAATAATCGGATAATCGTGGAAGTGGAACGCGGCCGAGGCAGCCGTACGAGGTAACTCTGGTTCAGTGGTGAGTGCTCTCTGCCTCCCCTTTCCTCTCTCTTTCTCTCTCTCTCTCTCTCTCTCTCTCTCTCTCTCTCTCTCTCTCTCGGTCACTCTCCCAGGTTAGCTTAACATGCTTACTTCTGTATCTGGAATATAAACAGACGCAGGTTGATGTTCTTGGCGGCCAGGAGTTTGTTACACTCCACAGAGTCTATGATGGGGAGCGGCATGTACTCCGTCTCGTTGTTCTCGTTGGAGAAGGCGAAGTGATAGATGACAGGGTTGATCTTCACATCGTCGTAGGGTCCCTTGAGCAGCAGGAAGGAGCACTCCATGGGCGCGCTGACTTTGCTCTTCAGGATGAGCTGGAAAGAGAGGGTGCGCTTACACGACAGGTTGGGGTTGCGCTCCGAGTCGTTCACCCGGGCCTTCAAGACCCACGTCTGGTTCAGCACGGTAAACCTGGGCGTCTCGTAGTAAAGGCGAGTGATGAAGTCGTCGGTCCGGTACGGACGAAACTGGACTTCTGCAAGACAGCGAGAAAGGGGGGGTGGCGGTGGGGCATTTGGGGAGGAGGAGGAGGAGGGGGGGGGGGGGGAAGAGAGACAGAAAAAACAAAAAGGAGAAACACAATTACACCAGAGGAACCGGAAGCAGGAAGAAACAAAGTTCGAGTTACCTGTGTGGCTACTGCGCGCGTGGCCTTCTTGGGCAGGAGACAAGGGTGAGGGTGGCCATTCAGAGCTAGGGAGGGGCAGGAGCAATTTGGCTGGTGGGGGGGGGAGGAGGAGGAGGAGGAGAAAAGCAGATAAAAATCAATAGGTCTTATCACGGCAAAACCCACAACAACAACAACAGTAACAACAGTAGTAGTTTCATCGTGGCTCAAGACTGGGGGGGAAGAGAGAAGCCACGGAGAAGCTCGGAGGTGGTCAATCCAAGCACAGCAGAGGGAAGCAGCCACGGGGCCTCCGCCACGGAAGAAGGCCCTTGGCCACGTGACCAGAAGCCAACCCGAGACTCGGGGACAGGTGAGGTCCAGGTGCAGGATGGGCTGCCACCCTGCCTTCTCCAGACGGGCAGAAGCGCTCTTCGGTCTTCCGGCCTCATCCGACTCTTTGCATCCAAGGGCCTGCAGCCTCGGGGCTATACCTAGGTGGCCGGCCTCCACGGCCACCAACCGCCAGCATGTTCGCCAGGGCCCGGGACGTCACCGCCGGGGCCAGGCCTTCCGGGAGAGCAGCTTGGAGGCCTCTTCCAGCGTCCACGCGAGGTTTCTTGGGAGAGCCGAGGGCAGCCAAGGGGTTGGCTCCCCGAGGGAACCGGGCGGACGGCTCTGGAGCCCTTAAGGGATATCCCAGACCAAGTGAGGTCATGCAGAAAAACCAAATCAGACAAGTCAGGGGAGGTGGCACCTTTATTTTATTATGCTATTCACAATACACAGTTGAGAAGGCAGAGTCAGGCATCGTCAACAAGCAAAACCAAACTAGGCGGCTCTTTTGTGTGTGTTTGTTTTAAACAGGAGGGCAGAACAGCCTGGGGGTGGGATACATGAAGTCAAAGAACAGTACACCAAATCATTTCGAAGACTCAAGTTTTTAGACCCCCCCACCAGCCCGCCCCACCCCAAAGTAAAAAATAAATAAATAAAAAAATTGGTTTAGCCCAGTCCGGTGTGTCAAAAGTCAGTCTCTTAAAAGCCCCGAGAGTCCACCGAGCGTTTTGCGCGATTCGAGTTTATAATCGAGATTGTTGGCCCGGTAAATTTTTTTAAAAGTCTTTGGTGTCCCAAACCAATGGAGTTCTCTCCCGGCCACACAAAACTCAGGGACGGGGGGGCACCTCTGTGGGCAAGTTTGGCTTCGTCGGTGTTTCCAGAGGACCGTTAGGAGGGCACGGCAGCGAAACCTGGACAAAGGAGGTGATGGGAGTTATTCAAGCCACACAATCAGCACTTTCGTTCTCTCCGTGTTAAAGCAGCAGCAGCAGCACCACCTGGCCAGCTAGAGGCCCGTCTCTTTCCTAAGCAGAGGGGGGGTCTGCGCCTCTCTTCTCTCGCAGGCAGAGGGGCCGCGGGGTTTGGGGGACGCCCCCTGCTTCCGACTTTCAACCTGGGCAGGCTGCACCCTGCTCCACCAACCCTCCCCGGCCCCTCAGCGCTACCCCGTGGGCGCTGCTGGGCGCTGCTGGAGAGCCGGGTCCTCGGGGAGTCCAAATCTGACAGGACCAGGATGTCCTCCTTGGAGCGCTTCCCACCCCCCACACCCCCAAGCCCCCCCAAAACCAGTGCCAGCTCTAGGATCAAGTAGGTTTCAGAGAGAGAGAGAGAGAGAGAGAGAGGGAGAGATGGTGAAATTCCTTCCTGCTCCCCTGGACTCCATATTGTTTCTTTCCTAACCTCTAAGCACCTTAAACTGGGCTAAGAAACACCCTCAGGGGTTCTCTGAGGCTCCGGCCTTGCTTGGGTCCAAGAGCGGATTATATCCAAGGAGACTCTTTCTGTAGGAAACGTGAATATTTACAGGGAAAGGAAAGGAAAGATTTCAGCATCTATTTCCCTCAAGAAACCCCACAGCCATTTACAGAGCCTTTTCCATGCAGTTCTGCGGAACCTGCGTCGAGCCTCCTTGGGAGATTCGGAGGAGGAGAGTCCCAAGCTTACCTGTGGAGGCAAATTAAACCGACACGGCTTCCTCCTTCCCCACCTGGTGCACGTACATTTCTGACACGAAACGCAGGCAGAGCTTTTGTGGGCTGGGTCACGAAACCCAGGAACATATTTTTTTTTTCATACCAGGAAATGACAGGCCACTGCAAACTTTCAGAATGCCTACGGAACACTCACCCGACTGAATGAAGCTAGAAATGCTAGAATATTTTCGCCCCGAAAGAAAAATGCTTTTGGCACAAAGCTACCGGATGCACACTATTAAAAACAGCAGAATTCCAAACGAGAGAAAACTCAGTATTTAAGTAGGCACAGAAAGAGAGAAAGGAGCAGAACCCGCGTTGATTGTCATCGTTAAGTCTGTGCTTTTTTTTTTCTTCTTCTTCTTCTTCTTGTCGTCCATCTCTGACTGCCCCATCTTACCTGCATTAAGGAACGATCCTTCTTCCCCGTCTCACCAGGGCTGCAGGGGCGTAATCAGCAGAAGGAAAAACACCCAAGGTCCTCCTGGTTCTCCTTGAGTGGCCTCAATTGGACACACAGAATTTGCCATTCCACACACACACACCCTCCACAATTCCCTCCTGGGTCTCTTGGTGCAATATGTGCCGTTAAGGATGTGCAACCCCTAAACATTGGGATTCTCAAGCCAACCAGAGGGAAATCTCCAGGAATCAACATTTGGGGTAGCAGCCCTGTCTGGCCAGCAAAGCCTCACTCTTCTGAACCACAGTTGCTGCATGTTAGGTAAGAGAAATAAGTTAATCCACAGATTAACCACCGAAATGAGGCGGGAGGAGAAAAACCGAACGCACGAGCGTCACCCCCGCCCCCCGCCCCCCGTCAGGGCTTGCGTCCCCAGTCATTACCTGTGTAACCGATCTTCTCGAAGCTGAGCAGGCCGAAGATGCTGTTGTAGAGCTGCATTTCCCTTTTATGCGTTTGGTCCATTTCATCCAGGATCTCCATTAGCTCGTTCCCTGTCTTGGTGGGGTGGGTGCACTCCGCTTCGTGGACGGTGAGTTCGTGGTAAGGGCCCTGCCACGGGCACCCAATCCGCTTGTACTTGCACTGAGTCACCCTGCAGATGGAAAGCGGGGCAGGCCTACGATGAGCGGGAAGAAAAGGCCGCACGATGGAGAACGCAGGGGGCCAGAACCGGGACAGGGCAATGCCCGGAGGCACCAACGCCAGAGACTTCCGTCGTTTGCCCGGGAGAAAATTTGTTCCATGAAAAGAAACGACATGGCCGTCTAATCCTACCACGGATAAGAGCCAAACGTTCATTTAAACTAAACAGAAAGGACCAAGAAAGGAAGAGAGTATTTGTCGCTGTGGAATAAATGATTTTATTCGTAGAGCCTCTAAATCCAGGATCACTACATTCCTACGCGCACCTTCCCCTTTCAATCTGGTATACGTTACACAAAGCCAATCTCTCTCTCGTCTGTCCTGAACCCGTTGCCGGTTTCGATGGGTGGCCTCTAGCATCGACTAAAGACTGCTGTTGGAAAGCTCTTAGGCTCCCCATTTAAAAGAACCATCAGCAAAAGAGCTGACCAACTTTGCCCTCTCTTTTCAGAGCCTTCATGGGGTGTGACCATAGGGACGGGAGAATTTTCAAATTCTTTTCTAACGAGGGGAAGAGTAACGGTTGACACATTCACTAGCGTAAATTAGGAAAAACTTGCAAGAAACCTCTGATTAGCCCATGGCTGCTCCCCTTATTGACATAATCAAGAAAGATACTATTAGAACAGGGGTCCAAACTTGGCAAGATTTTTAGACTTCAATTCCCAGAATTCCTCAGCCATAATACAGGGCTCTGCCATATTTGGAGACCCCTGTATTGAGAGTATAACATGGGAAGGTTTTAATTTTAATTATGCTCTATCTCAATTTAACTATCTTGATCTCTTTCTTTATCAAACACACCACACCCGGCAACACCCACCCTACAGTTCACCTCTGAGCAGCTCCCTGGGCACGGATGTCCTTTCCACCAGCACTCCAGGACCTTCCTGTTATTCCAGGGCAGAGCTCCACTTTCCCAGAATCCCAAGGGACAGGGTCACCCCCCCTCCCCCCACAGACTAGCTGGGAATCCCGGGAGCTGCATTCTTCCACCCTAGCAGAACGGCAAAGGCAGCTCGAGTAGTTCTCGTTCTCTCCCTCCCTCCCTCCCTCCCTCCTTTTTTGCACCAGTGTAAAAAGCAACCTGGGCCATTTACCTGTCCTGACATTCTTCTTTCTGGTGCCTCTCCAGAAGAGAACGAGGGAACTGCCTCATGCAGAAGCCACACTCTGAGGGTAGTTCGCTCACGGCTTTTTCCACCGCCAGGTTTCGGCAGCAAAGGCTCTTGCTGATCTCGCAGCGGCAGTTGGGACAGGTAGCCTGCTCCTCCTTCAGCCGGGCATCGGCCAGCAGGTGGATGAAACATCCCGCACACATCAAGTGACCATTTGTACACTGTGGGGGGGGGGGGGAGGGAGGGGGGGAAAAGCAGAACCTCAGAGGTCTTCTCCAAGAGACAGCACGGAAACACACCTGCGTTTTCGCTACCTTCAAACGGTTCATCCCCCGCCCCCCCTTCTCAGGCAGGTGCTGGCATTGATGAAGGAGAAGATTTGTAGCTCAGGGTCGGCATGAGGGGTCCTTGGTGCTTGGTTGGTTTTCTTGCAGATGTTTCATGGCTGAATTAGGTCAATCATCGGTGACTATGTCCCCTAGTTTGGGTAATGAAGCTTCTGCAAGAAAGCCCCCCAAGCTCAGAGACCACCAAAGACCTCTCCGGTGCTGGCATTTTAAAGCTGCATTTGTTTGATAATGGCCTTATTTACATCTCTGAAGAGAGTTACGAAAAGATGATGGTGCCTCTTCCAGTAAGAAACAGCACGAACAGAGAAATAATTGACAATTCTGCCCACCTCTGCCTAGGCATTTACTGATCACATTCCACATTCTTGCTTTCAACCCAGAGCCCATGTAAACTCAAGAGGTCAGAATCCAGGGTTCCCCCCCCCCTCAAAAACGGGCACTGGAGCAGCACTATATCAACTCTGAAGGCCTTTGCTCAGCCTCTCCAGGAACTGAAGAAGGGGGAGATATATTTTTTTTTTTTACAAATCACACACAAGACAGATGACGATGGAACGTTATTTTGAGGCCCTTATACCAGGGGCCTCCAACCTTGGCAACTTCAAGACTTGTGGGCTTCAAGTCCCAGAGTTCCTCAGCCAGCTTTGCTGTGTAGCTTTGCTGGCTGAGGAACTCTGGGAGTTGAAGTCCACAAGTCTTAAAGTTGCCAAGGTTGGAGACCTCTGCCTTATATGATGAAAACCACTGGTCACTTTCAAGGTAGGAAAAAGTCCAGGAAAGGCATCCCAATCTCTGAGTTACTATGACTCAACAGGTGAAAATGAATCAAAATTACCCAGGGAAGGCTCAACGGTCCACCTTCAAAGACTGATCTATCACCTTTTGAATCAAGCCCAACTCCTGGCTTCATGGATACATCCAGGTAGCCTTCTGGTGGACAATACTGAAATGATTTACTAATGTCTTCTTCTACAATGCTTTTCCAACCTCGCTTTCTAGCCTGTAGCTCCGCTGGGTCTTCCATTTAACTATCAGTTTTTCAAGAGCAGCCAAAATCACTTATATCCTGCTGTTTAAATAGAAAGTCATGAGCACTGGGGGTGGGATGGGGGGGGGGAGAAACCTTCGAGCTTTACACAGGGTACGAACTGAGCTGTCTGTAGCAAGGCAGAAGAAAGGGGTCAAATCGGCAAATGGATGGAATTGGCACCCTCAAACACAACATGCATGGATTTTCCAAACGGTTTGACCTGTACTTTTAAGGATTACTAACTGGGTAAAAAAAAAAAAAGATACGAAAGCAGACTAGTTAGAGCAACGGTCTTCCCTATAATGATGTATGGGTGTGAGAGTCGGGCATTAAGAACGGCTGATTGAAGAAGCATGAATTGATGCCTTTGAACCGGAGCGTTAGTGCAAATTACTGCCTATACCGTGGGCAGCCAAAACAACCAACAGGGAGGTGTTCAATGGTGCAAAACCAGACATATCGTTAGAAGCTAACATCATAAGACCACGTCTGATTTACTTTGGCCGTGTTATGCATGCAAATTCATGGGACAAGGCAACGATGCTAAGAATGGTTAGTGAAAGAAGAAGAAGAAGGTGCAAGCAACGAACACGCTGGCTTCATACCATCAAATCCTGATACAAAGCCAACAACTGAAAGAAGCAGTGATTGACAGGTAGCATGGGGAGGCCTTGCCTAGAAAGTTGCCAACTATCGGACATAATAGTTAAAACCAACTAACTAGTTGAAAACAAAAAAAGAAACAGAAAGAATAAATGGGTCGTTTTCTTCAGGGGGAGGGACTAAGAAATGGGAGTTCATTTTCATTTTAGTGAGTTCGTAATTGATCTTAGCAAACAGTAAGATAATTAATCCATCAATCCTCGTCCAAGCCCCTGCTGAAGCAGAAAACTCTATATTTCAGACAAAAGGTTGTCCAATTTCTTCTAAAAACCCTCCAATAACTTATTGTTTTAAACTTTTAGCCACCAACTGGATAACAGAATCGCTAAGACGGAAGGGATCTTGCGAGGCCTTCTAGTCCAGCCGCCCTCTCTTTCAAGCAGGAGAACCTACTGTGACAAAGGAGGCCATGCAAACGCAGTTTTGTCCCTCGTCCTGGGCAATTTGGGGTAGCCCTATAGGAATTAAAAGATTGAAAAGAAACATTTGGGGGACCAGTTCGTCTCAAGAGAACTCTCCACCACCGTGGCATTTGTTTCCAGGTCAGAGTTGCACGGATCCCTGTGGGGATTCCAGGTACGTCACCCCATTACACCGTGGGAGAGTAAAAGGAAGGCACACCCAAGCACTGTTTTAGCTTCGCCTTCTCTCGCTTGTGTTTCAGTGGGGTTTCAAGGCTCTTCCAACGGTGTAGTCCGAGTTGTACGTTTTGGCTGAAAGGCAAGCATAGACCTGGGGCGGGCAACGGTGGCCCGTTTGCAACCTGTGGACTTCAGCTCCCAGAATTCCTCAGCCAGGCCTGCATTGCTGGCTCAGGAATTCTGGGAGTTGAGGTCCAGAGGTTGTAAAGGGGCCACCGTTGCCCAGCCTGATATATAGACCA